AAGATGTGCAAGTGAAAAGCAACAAGTTGGCACAAGAAATGTCAAAGATAGGCCTTCCTTCAGGTGAACATAGAGAAAACAGAGGCGATGAAGATTCCTGGCCAACACCAACAGCAACAACAACAACAGACAACGATCAGTCAGCATAAATGGGAGGAACCTGAGAGAAACAACCTCCTTTATTACCTACCTATCTGGGAAGCATCTTTTCAACTATAGGCGGATGGAACCGATGAAGATATCAAAGCAAGGATCATCGGGAAAGCAAGGTAAGCTTTCGTTACTCTCAAGTCTGTATGGAGATCAACAGCACTCACCATCCAAAATAACATCCGGATTTTCAACTCCAATGTGAAGTCAGTCACTGCTACTCACTATACAGATCAGAGACTTGGCGCGTCATAAAGAGCACCTCAAACAAACTACAGACCTTCATTAATAGTTGTCTTCGCTCCATACTCAATATCAGATGGCCGGCCAGAAAAGATCAGCAACAAGGTGGGATCTCTGGCAATCAGCGAACCAACCCAGCAGGAACCGATTGTGAAACAAATAGGCAGGAAGAAATGGAGATGGATTGGCTGGCCATACTCTGAGGAAACAAACCATCAAGTGACATCACTAGACAAGCCATCGCTCGAGTGGAACCCGAAAGGGAAGTGGCGAGTCGGTCGTCACTGCAAGGGTGTCTTAAAGGAGATCATGTGAAGAGGAGATGAAAGTATGTGGGCAGACTTGGAACCAGGTGAAAACTCTAGCAGAGAACTGAACGCAATGGAGACGCGCGGGGGAAACCCTATGTTCCTCTAGGAATTAAAGGAAATAATAATAATAACAGGTAGTTCAGTAAACAGTCAGGTTGGGTTTTTTTTCTCTTTTTGTTTTTGGTAATCTGTCGTCTACTTCATGATTATTATTATTATTATTTCAATGCGCTTATCACTCACTCACTCAGTCACTGAGTGATTGATCGATCATACTGTTCTGTATTTGTTTACAGTAAAAATTCTCAGCATCTATGTATCAGTTACAGTTAAATTTAGGGCGCTGACGTGTTCATATCCAATAAAACAAAAATGAATTATCTCATATATATATATATGGAGATAGTTTGATTACTGATAAACACATTCAAGTAACACAGTTGTGTTGATTTTTGTCTATCAATGATGAATCCTCTCTCTCTTCAGTGCACGCCATACAATTAAAACTGTCCAGTAAAAGGAGGAGATTTACCATAGGAATATAACTGTGTTTCATAGAACCTTATATTGAATTCCATTATAAATAAAATTTTATTTTGATAAATCACACAGTGTAGTGTTATACAGCACAATAGCAACTGATGACCACGTTTTGAGCACAAATTATTGACGCTCATATTCATATCAAGTCACTCACTCATACAACTTTCTTGCTTCATTTATATACATGAGTGAAATTGCAATGGCTGTGAGGTCAACTATATAGGTGCAACTAATACGTCGGGGGTAGTCAGATTATCAGAACAGAAGAATTTAGCTACGGTTAGAATGATTGACCCCACCTGTGAAGATAATTAATTTAGGAAAAAGCTCAGCAATCACGCTGCATGCATCAACATACAGCTACACAATAGAGTGGGTGGGACAGAATCAAAACGCTAAAAAAATAATATAAGTAGGTGGAGAAACAGAGAGATTGATTACTGAATCCTGATTGGTTCATTTGGTCTACACCCAACACATGCAACAGAAATGATTCAATGCAAATACCAGAGATATGGAAGACATTATTACCACCAGTCAGCCAAATCAGAGGAGGATAATAAGTAATCTTAAAATTCTATTTCAATTCACATACATTGTGACATTCTTATAAGTTATTTATTTATTTTGACCATAAAAACACTCGTTTTATTTCCCATCTGATTGTAATTGATCAATAATACTCATATTATTATTTCTGAATGTACATTGTCTTATAGTGATTTTTATTCAAATATCTAGTCAGTTTCACTCACGTTTATAAATGAAGCAAGGAAGTTGTGTGAGGGAATGACTTGATATGATTATGAATGACAATAATTTGTGCTCGAAACGTGGTCATCAGCTAATATTACTGGATAACATTGTGAGACTTTATCAAAACAAAATCTTATCTATATTAGGATTATACTCTAACGGCACAGTGCCCAAGTTTTATACTTATATCAATAATTATAGTGAATTGATTTGATGAAAAGAATTACCTATTGAGTCTTAGATAAGTAATGTAACACTCTTAGTCTTCACCGATTGATGTGCTTGAAAATTCTGACACACTCTTGGGTGTGAGTATATAGGTGATCACCAAGACAAATTTTATCTCTCTTTCGTATCCATCTGCGTCTATGGAAATCAAGAGATATCTACATATTTTTATGTACATTATTATTCGTTGTTATTAGCAGAGAAACGGTGTTTTCTGATTGGCTGTTTTCTCTCTGAAAGTCAATTTGTCATCTCTTTGTGGCCATTTCCCTGAAGGTCAGACCAGATATCTGCTAATCGTATCCGCCCACGCTAAGTCTACTGTGATTGGTTGTTGAGTTAGTCTTTGTTTTTGTTTTTCTTTCACATGGACAAGATTTAGGATGTAAACATTGACGTAAATTGCTGTCTACCAATTTTCGCTAGCAGATAGACAGCTCCCACCACAACATTAATCCACCAAAATCACTTGATCAAGGAGTATGAATCTAACAGTCGTAAAACCAGTTCTATGCCTGACTTATTCTCTGAAGTCTATTCCAAATACATTTGCAGTGAATAACTTGAAAAATATCCACCAGTTTTCGAAAGAAATGGATCATGTGTATATATATACCAAGTAAACCCACGCTATCGTATCATTTGACTATTTAATTAATAAACATACAAGTGATCGAAACAATCGGCATTATTTGTCAACAAAAACACACCTACTGACACTATGTGAATCACAGATGAGGCGTCTACTGCATCAAATTTCAATTTAACAACCTGCTTTGCCAAGAAATCGACAGGGTAGTGATAGGTTCACTCTGTAGAAGCTGTTTTCACCTATATCTTCATGGGTTATCTCGAACCGAGGCGGTTGATTTCAGCTTACATTTTGGATGCGTTAATTTTGTGTAAAATATCAATTTCTCTACTACACTACAATCACTGGAGTAAAGTTATTTGTCAAACCGATTTTCACATTCACTTCTCAGTATCGGTTATAGAAGTGTAACACTTCAGTGACTCATTTCTGGATTTCATTCCACGCATCCGGTTAAAATTTCATGAATATATCTAATCCATTGGGAAATTGATCACCAGTAATCGAAAGTTACATAGGGTGAAACCATGAGTTCTTGGGTAAAGCAGAGGAAATCTCATTCCTTCAACATCCCATCGTTCTAAAGTTGACATATCTTCATGTTGAGCGAGATCAAATTAACGTCTTCGTCTGCAGCGTATTATCGACATTTAGAAATTTGTGGCTTTAGTGTTCAAGCGAAACATTAAAATTTCATATCCTTGTGTGTAATAGAAATTTCAAAGCCACACAGAATTTCAGAGATTTATCAGAGCATTAAATTTATTCCACCGTTTCATTTATTAACTTTTATTAAATAAAGAAACAGTAGTTGAATGTTCGATTATGGTTAATTTTTTTATTTTGATAAAGACTCACAGTGTTATACAGTAATGTTTACTGATGACCCCGTTTCAAGCACTATTTCTTGCTCATAATCATATCAAGGTAATCACACGACTTCTTAACTTCATTTATATAGTCTCATTAATTTTCACTTGATTTGATTGGTAATAGTATTTTTCATATTTCAGGTATGAGTGATTAATCATTCCTAGTGCATGTGTTGGGTGTAGACTCGATGAACAAGGATTCAGCAATCAACCTCTCTCTCTCCACCTACCTAGATTACTTTTTAGAGTTTTAACCCTCTCCCACCCTATCGTGTGGTTGTATGTTAACGCGTGTAGTGCAATCGCTGAGCTTTTTTCTAAATTATCTTCTCTGGGTCAACCATTCTTACCTTAGCTAAATTCTTATGTTCTGACAGTCTGACTACCCCTGACCTACTAGTTTGACCTATGTAGTTGACTTAACTCACAGTCATTACAGGGTATTTTGTAAATTATATTATTTTGTTTAATTGGTTCAACCGACAGGGTCCTTTAAACTACCGAGCTTGTCCTACCTGAGTGAGTTTGTAGGTTTGAATGCCTTTACCCTAATTCCTGCTTTATTGAAAATCCTATGTAGGGCCTCAGATGTCCCCTCCTTATATGGTATAACAGTAGATGACTTATATTCTCTCTTATTTATGTTATTATTAATGGTTTCACAATTATTTTTATTTTTCGTTTGGCTTTTTTCGATCTTCCTAATAAATTTTAAAGGATAGTTATTTAACACCAACGCCTCTTCTATCTGTTTGATTTCATCGTTTAGGTCTTTTCTTGTACTAATTAATGCTACTGCTCGGTTTGTTAAACACTTAACTAAGCCTGCCTTAACAGTTAACGAATGAGACAAATTAAAGTCTAAGTATCTATTAGAATGAGTTGGTTTTTTGTACACACTAGTGTGTAGTTTACCTTCTTCTATTCGTTTTATTTTACACTCTAACATCACAGCTAATTCTCTTTGTTCATTTTCGGAATTCAAATGTGAATTTTATTCCTTTCATTAGTGAGTTTATGTGCGTCAAGAAGCTAGAGATATGTTCTGTTTTTAACAGAATGGAACTATGTATATGAAGTTAAGAAGTCGTGTGATTACCTTGATATGATTATGAGCTGTAATAAATTGTACTCGAAACGGGGTCATCAGTAAACATTACTGTATAACACTGTGCAACTTTATCAAAACAAAATTTACCCATAATGGAAGTAAACTGTGTGAGTCATATGACACATGTCTTCAAGATGTTTAGTGACATAGACGAACTATCACTTTTTCCTTTTTCTTCATTATTTTCGCCTCAGGTAATTGTTGATGAAAAAGAATTACGCATTGGACCGAAATCATCGTCATCATCCTCATCATCGAGTCAGTGTACTCAATGATAGCTGGAATCGACGAGATTATTCACCCTCAGTACTCCTCGAGATATAGGAGAAACAAACAAACAAAATTCCCTGATTTCTTTTCACTCTCTCTCTCTCTCTATGCCTTTATCTCATTTTGTCTGTCTATTTCTGCGCTACCTCCACAGATTATTCATTGTTCATGCTTCTTGTACAATATTAATTTTGATGTGCTGTGGAAAATATCTTCATTCACTTTTTATTATTGAGAACTTGACAACACAATCAGTGTATGCACCATTTCTTTTTTATTTGTTTGTTTGTTCATTTCTTTGTTTCCCGCCTCTTTCACCGTGTGTGTGTGTGTGCGTGTGTTTGTGTGTTCGCCTTCGCCTGAAAAACAGCAGCAGCAGCAGAAGCAACAGCATTCCATTCCATATTTGTGCTTTGTAAGCCATATCCCTTCCCTTGTAAAAAAGAAACACACAAACAAAGAAAACAAACAACTCATCCCCACCCCTCCCACTCCCACATGTCAGCAGTGTTGACGTATAGTATAGTACAACTTATTATCAACAATAATACTGTTAAGCAATACTAATATATACGACAAGAGTTATTATTATTATTATTTTGATACATTCACTAACAGCAGACTTATCACCATTATTTTGCGCCAGTTTTCTTATATTCGAATCATTACTATACATGAATTGTAGTCTCTCTCTATCTCTCTCTCTCTTTGTCTATCTGTATTTGCATCTGCAGCTTATCGAACGATGTTTATGAAACAGTTTCTCTCTTTTTTTATGTGTATGTGTGCATGTTCACACACCTTGGTTCTCTTGTCTTGTCTATTTTTCCATCTTCACAATGTGAATACTGTTGGTGTGTTGCTCTAACATCACACATCGTTGAATAAACACAACATGAGCAACACACACACACACACACATTGAATTTTCTATCAAAATCTCCAAGCTACATTTTTGTATATTTGTTTATTGTTGTTATTATTATTATCATTATCCTTGATTGCACAGAAAATATACAATATATATATAAGAGTATAAGTAGAGCATGAAGCCGATGAGATGAGGACGAAGAGGAGGATGCAGCGGGAAGAGACCGGGGCGCGGGGTTGACGGGAGCAAAGCAACAAAAAGAAGACAGAAGAGCAACCTGGTTCCTTATCTCGATGACCTGTGTGTTATAATAATAATAATAATAATTCCTTTTGTTTTGTTAAGCTGATAAGAGTGGTGTATATTACAACACACACACACACACACACACACACACAGAAGATTTCCTTTCTTTTGTAGCCCTTCTTCTTTTTGTTGTTAATCACTTTCACACATTAAGCAGCCTCTATCTACTTTTGATTATGTTGTGACTTTCTGTATTTATTGAAAATAGACAAACAAACTTAACAATTAATATTGTATATTTATAAATTAATTGTATGACAAGTGTTAACAATATTTATATAAACGATATCAGCAATAAAAATAATAATAATAATAATAATGAAAGTTTTCAAGTGTTGGTTTGAGGGGTTTCGGTTGGTTACAGTTGATGATGCAAAGGTGACCAGGCAACTATTTAAACAAGACAGTTGCCGTGATACAGCCACCAAAAGCCAAACAATATGAGAGCAACAAATTGAAGAGTTGCAGCGTGAAGTGGCCGTGCTGAGAATGATTGTGAGGAGAGACCGGTGTCTTGCATGCGGCAAAATGAGCCATTGGGTAAAACCGTTACCTGGGGAGACGACAGAAGAAAATTTTTAGGAGGTGTTCGTTAATAGTGCAGGTATTGGGGGACCACATGTTAAGAATCGCGGGGGTGTCATACTGCAGGGTTAGTATTGGAGAGGATAACGTGAAGTTTCCATTCCTGGTTGTACCTGAGTTGCGCTGAACAATCCTTGGAGCACACGTTTTGCGAGAAGTAGATGCAGTGATTAAGGTGAAGAAAATAGTTGTCCTTACGAAGTATGGGTGTTTCAGTATGCATGAGAATAGTGAGGTAGCAGGGACTGTAGCGTCGAAAGTTCTAAGTGCAACAACGTTACCTACCAAATACGACCATCTTTTCACGGGAGATCGAGATCCTTACGGTTACTATGATGAAGTGATGCATGAAATTCCAGCGACAAGCGGTAAAGCGAGACCATCCATAGCTCGAACAGTTTCATGTCATTTAGAAAGCGAGGTTTCAAAGTCGTGTGATTATAATTGAAGATATGATTGTGAACAATTCTAAATTTTGTTCGAAACAGTATCATCTAGTAAATAATACCGTTTCACTGTGTGATACATCTAATAAACAAACTAATATGGAATCAGTTACTACTTTTATGATAAGCACTTCGATAACCAATTATAATTAATGGACTATCTGACACTTGACACAATGACAAACCTTTTTTATTTGGTATCACATCGTTAGAAATGGTAGGTATTATGGCATAATTTCTTTAAGCAAGACAGTTTTGAGTAGGAGCACTTTCAATGAAACTATCCTGAATTCGAGTCCTTCTCATATATAGTCTGGTACATATGATTTTTTGTGCTAGATTTTCTACTTGGACATATCAACAATAGTCTGTCTCCAAATAAATGAACAGTACAATCTAATCCCCTAATTTACTAGTAAGAGGTTTCCTTACGCTTCCAGTGGAACATAGGGGGCTTCAAGGTAGAGCTTTAAAGTTTCAGTAACACAGTGGTGTTTGCTTTTACGGGATAGAATTGCTAGCCTCATGCCAAACCTTCCCTCTTCACCAATCTTAATACTGGTTTAGCGAGGTAAAAAAGGAGTGCATCGGTCGGGGATCGAATCCCGAACCACATGTGTGGTCGGCGAACATTCTTCTGCTGTATCAGCGATGCATCTAGTACAAGAAAGTAACCTTCTACAGCTTGAGGCAAGTAACAAATAAAGAAAATTGGTATATAGAAGTGAATTAGCGGATGGTGACTAGCAGTGGAATTCAGGACGCACATTTCGTCCCATTTGAGACTCGTCATCTGGATGTTCCTGCATTCCACAGTGAATGACGATGTTCCCATCGAGGCTCCTTGAAATCATTTATTCCTGTCAGATAAAAGATAAGAATAAGTAGGTTTCCAACCTAATTTCATGTTTTGTCTCTTTCTTTCGATGCTGTTCATGTTTTCAACAGCACAGTTGAAGAATATTCATCCTTACTCAGTAGGTTTTAAGTTTACATCCAAGTTGAACACTTGAGGGTTTTGCATACTTGTTACTGTAGTGTTTGCTTTCTACAGTTTGTGCATCACTTCTTCAAAGACTATAACATTTCACAATTTGATTGTTGGATGGTGATTGGTAGTGGAATCCAGGATGCGTATTTCGTCCTATTTCTGACTCGTCATCAAGATGTACTTGCATTCTGCAGTGAGTCAGTGATGGTGTTCCCACCGAGGCTCGAACCCAGTGGCCATAGTTTCAAACGCCAAACGTTATCCTGTATTCCACTGCTAGTCACCATCCACCAGTTAAATTCTAATTACATGCCCAAACACCGTCGAAGCATCTGCACAAGAAGCCGACAGACATGTCAACCTGAGACCGAGCACTTCGGTCGAATCAATCGACGGGATAATCTAACATTCAATCGAATATATAACATTTTACCTCCTTCCACTAAAATATTTCCACTAAGAATGATTTAACTTAATTTTGTTTCTTAGTGTGAAATTTTATGAATTTTGTCATATTTGAAAATAATTATTTACCATTTCCGCATAGTGGATACTTTGTGCCTGTGACACACACACACACACACACACACAAACATGGCTGGAAATATGAAAAAGCTACAGATATTTCACTATAGATGCCTTTATTCACTTGTTTGCTTCTTGATTAGAAAAACAGGATAAACGGTACTGAAATTAGACAAGTGCTTCGCATACATGGATTAAGATAAAGTTGTTCGTGGCCAAGTACAAAACTTGAAGTCTCTGGATTGTTTGGTCTGAGCTATGTACGAAGGGTTGAATGTACGTCTGAGAGAATTTCTACGTTAATGCACACTTGTTTTTATCTAGACGGTTGGAGGCAATCGGCCACAAGAAGCCCTACTTGACTTAAGTCTCGTGCCAGTTGGCACTGTTTAGTCCGCAAGGAGTATCTGCAATCACCTTGAAGGACCTCATGTCCCTTCCGGGATTCAAACGCATGTGTCACCCAGTGCTGTATTTATTATAGATTTCAAAAGAATCACTTTTATGAAAGATACAGGAATAACGACATCGATGTTTCGTCTAATAGGTTCTTCGAATATAAAGTCTCGTGTTACCATAAGTGAATAAGGTAGATATCTCAAGCAAAATGCATGAATTTATTGTCAACATTTAAGTTGTTTATCCTTTCAACAGATCCAAAGGTGTCTTATACGCTGTGCTTCACCAATTCAGTATGCAAAGACTTTAAGAGTTTAACCGAACATTTGGCTATAGGATGGTATATATATATATATATATATATATATATATATATATATATATATATATATATATATATATATATATATATATATATTATTGGGAGAGTGATAGACCAAGTATCCACTAAATTGTGATTCAATTAACCTACAATTTGAAATAAGGCGATTTAACTGATTTTATCGACTTTGAAATGGTGTTAGGGCTAATCTAAAGTGGAAAAACAAAGAAAACTACATTTGAGGGATGTGGATTTTATGCCCAGTGAATAATACTTCTTAATAGTAGAGAAAATTAACGAAATAATTATTCATACTGACAAACTGGCTACTGTCTGTTTTCGACACAGAACTTCGCACAGATGTCCGGCAGTTCAAGTCGCCACATTCCCTCTACGTAGCACACAAAGCAACAGAAGAAAGTAGAAGAAAAGCATAATAGAGACAGTAAGCAGAGGTGTGAGACAAAGGAATAGTAATAACAAAGAACAATATATTTTCAATGAAAATCATAAGTTACAAGGAGTGAATGCATCTGCGCCACTGAGAACGATTTTGAGCCATATCACCAATTGTTTCCAGCCTTCATTGGTTTTTACCATCCCGAGGACCCCAACCAGCCAGGAAGTCTACACCTTCCTACGTGGCTTAAACTAACTGTCGTAGATTTCATTGACTGGTGGAACCATGTTTTGGTTTGACCTCTGCTAGCTCTTTTCCAACCTGACTCTATGTCAGCTAACATTTCCCATCGAGGAAAGCGATGACTCGGCACACGTAACACATGTCCTAACCATCTCAGTCTTTGTAACTTCACAGCGTCGTCGATTGATTTCCCCTCCTTACTTAGCACTCGACGCCTAAACTCTATATTGCCAACTTATTATACAACGGGAGGTAGAACGCAGGCACCCATGATGAAAGACAGCTAATCTTTTCATGTCTTCCTTTCTCAGTGGCCAGGTCTCACAGCCATAAAGGAGGACGGAGGGGACTGATGAACAGTACACCCGCCCTTTGGTCAACAGTCGGATATCACGTCTACGCCAGAGACGGCGTAAACTGGAATATGCGAAACGAGCCCCCTGTATCCATGCTGAGATTTCGTCAGAGATCAACCCGAACTGGCTACATTATTAATGGGCGTCGAGAGATGCGTCACACGAAACCTCATAATTTTTGCGAGTATTGGGATAGTGCCCGGACACCAAGACCGAAGTAACTGGTTATTTTAAGGAGCCACCCCGCTAAGCCTTTGACTTGAATTGTGGTCCAAATGGTAGTAGAGTGGCGTTAGGAGGTACCTTCTCATGGTGGAGGGTGATGAAAACGGGTTCATGGACCATTCGACCCGTTGGAATTCTGGAGTCCATATACAACATAGGTTTACAACAAGCATTTATCAGCCGCCTCTCAGACAGACGTGTATGTCCACCAGTCCGATTTTAAACGTATTCCCCTTTTACTTTTGTGAGAAACCCCTCTTTCCCTCTATGTATGAATACAGTAAATAGACCTTATGTGAAAAGGGCCATGACTACGTGACCGTATGAGAGGAGAGCATCATTTCACGAAGTAGACCGAAGTCTACCCACCTTCGACTATATCAGGTAGTTTATGGAGGCAAGAGAAAAGAGTTATTTCTACCTTTTATCATGAAATGTATATATTTCTTAGGAATCAAAGTTTCCTAATTTTATTTATACTGCTGGATAATGTATCACACTAATCAGATGGTTGGAGAAAATCGACCACAGGAAACCTTAGGCCTAGCTAGGTTTCGTGTTTAATGGCATTCACCAGTCAGTCAGTGAGCAAGAGTTATCCGCAATCATCTAGAAGGAACTCATGTTCCTTTTTCTGAGGTTCGAACCCAGTGGCGTCTGCAGTCATAGGCGTTACCACTGAGGAGTTGTCTGGGCTGACGATTCACCTCCCATAGGATTACTGTATGGGATCCTTTGACTGAACACTAGTTAGTAACTAGTGTAATGTGTCTTATTCCCCCTTTGTTTAGTGCAGACTGAATGAATTCTATCGTCAGTCTATTTTGCAATGTAGCCAGTATGCAGATACGCTTTGCTGACTAACTGGTGAGTGCCAACTAGCATGAAACCTACTTCAAGCAAGGCATCTTGCCAACTGCCTTCAACCATTTCATAACAATAATACAAAAATGCACCTAAAATGCTGGCCATATTGCAAAGTTGACTGACTGACTGACTGATAGAATTCACCCGGCACCAAAGAAAGGACCAGACGTTAACACTAGTATTCAATCAGAGTACACTTGTTTCTCTTTGTTGGATACTTCTTTCTAATCCCTGCATCCATTTTGTATGTAATTCAGCATAAATTATCTTGTAACTGGAGTGGAAAAAACAACAAACAGTATTTAGCTGATTAATCCAACCCCTAGAATACATGAGATATTTTAAATCTCTATTAGGGTGGAAATATTTTAACTTTGTCTCTACACTCTGTGTCCGTTCATACACCGAACAGTATTTATTACATTTCACCAAATTATGACAAACATTTTCAAGTATTGATCTGTAGGGTGTGAGGACAAATACGCGCGCTAGAGGTCGTGCCGTGAATTGGCAGTAGTTGTAATTCATGGAATGACCATTTATAATTGGGTTGGGTCCCAATGGTTACTGAATTGCCTACAAACTACTCACCTTGTAACTGGAAGGTCCAGGGTTCGAACCCCACTGGCGGTAGGTGAGTACTGATAAAGAGTCCCGTGCACTAGGGTGGAAGAGCTGGCTGTCCAGTACTCCAGTGATGGTTTTCCAAATGGTTGAAAAGAACAAGAAGTTCAGAAAAGATATCTGTCTTTTCGACGATTTCATTCTCACAGCCATCTGTACAATCGCATTTATATACATTAGTTTACATGGATGCAATTATTATTTATTAAATTCTACAAAGTAACAAGGGAGATAATATTTTTCAACTTGATGTGAAAGTTTGAAGATACGAATACAGATAACAAGGGGCTAAGAGACAAGATTTTGTAGGATTAGAAAAGTTACAACGTATGCAAAATTAATATTTGATAACTGACTCATCATTTAGGGGCTTTACAAAGTAAATAAAAATCTACCAAAGGCAGTGTATTTCCGACTTCTTAGTACTGTGGAAGCTCTCACCATATGCATGGAAAAGCTGGAGCTATGTGTTTAAAAGATTCTAGTCCAGCCTTTACAAATACCATGGACCTAGTTCAGTATGTTCCCTTTTCCTTCAGTGTTTTGGTTTTGTTATCTCTGTGTGTAATTTTCTCTCTTTGTCTTCATTCAATTCATACTATTTCTGCTTTCAGTTATAAAATCAGTAAAGTTTGTTTCCATGCCCCTCCTTATCACACTTGTAATCCGTTTAGAATAATCATTTTACAATTATATTCTAATCTTGTGTAATTTTTTGTTTCTATGCCTCTTGTAATCTATATTCACACCTCCTAACTTACATCTCAAGATGAAAATTTTGATTTCAGTTTGTTTCTATGCTCATTTTGTTCACACCTGTAATTCGTTCTATCCCTGCGTCTCTAAGCCTGGTGTAATTCATATCAAGTTGAAAATAACTGCCACCTTTTATTCGCCTTTAAAATTATTATTTCTCCAGTTATCAAATATTAACATTAATTTTGTATTCGTTGTAACTGTTTTCTAATCGTATCAAATCTTGTCTCTTAGCCCCTTGTTATCTATATTCGTATCTTCAAACTTTCACATCAAGTTGAAAAATATTATCTCCCTTGTTACTTTGTAGAATTTAATAAATAATAATTGCATCCATGTAAACTAATGTATATAAATGCGATTGTACAGATGGCTGTGAGAATGAAATCGTCGAAAAGACAGATACCTTTTCTGAACTTCTTGTTCTTTTCCATCTAATGTCCCGATGGGTATTTTGCACGATTTCCAATGGCTCTCTAACCGATGTCAGCTTATGATGAAATCCTGTAAGATAAACATTATTTATTATTGTTACAATTATTGTTTCCTTTAATTCCTACAGGAACATAGGGCTTCACCCGAACGCCTCCACAGCGTTCAGTTCTCCGCCAAACATTTTCACCTTTCTTCACATCTACCCAACTTGCTTTCATCTCCTCTTCGCATGACCTTCTTCTGAATGTTACCCTCACAACGACGAGCGACCCGCCGCTTCCCATTCGGGTTCCACTCGAGTGATGGCCCGGCGTGTGATGTCACTTGATGCTGGTTTTTTCAGAGTATGGCCAATCCGCAAATGACAACTGATACGTACAGACATGATGTGTGTTTTGTTTTTGATAGTCTATTATATTTTGCTATGTGTATATGGGTCGATATTCCATTATAACTGACAATATGCTTTTGTCTGTCCACTAACTAAACAAACAATGTATGACCTTATTATCACATGACATTGCAACCAATCATGGCAAGACGTTATCTTATTGGCTCATGTGTATTAGCCATTTTCATATATACTTTTGTATTAGACACTTGTTCCCACGTTTTCGTACACTATGTACCATTTCACTCACACACTAGTGTGATATTTATTTTCCTTGTCTGGAAAATACAAGTATCATCGTAACCTGGTGGTCTTCTGATTTCCCTCTTTCCGCGTCAGGATTATTAACTACTCGACGAGTACATAACAACAACAAAATAAATAATAATAATTATTATTACCATTTGTATATTTTCCTATAAATTAAACTATCCTTTGAAAGAGGTTACTTCATTCACTTATCTAGGGAGCATTGTCTGAACTACAGGCAGTCGGAACGGACGAGGATGTCATGTCGAGCGAGAATCGAGAAGGCGAGCGAGAAACACATTCATCAACCTGAAACCAATCTGGAAATCTTCGTCACTCAGCCAGCATCAATAACAAAATTCAGTCGGATTTTCAATACAAACAACATCAAGTCAGTCAGTTCTTCTATACAGATCGGATCAGAAACTTGGAGAGTCACAAAGAATATCTCCAACAGCCTGTTGCAGACCTTCATCAACCAACAACTGTCTTCACTGGATGTATAATGAAAATCAGATGGCCTGGACGGAAAGAATCACCAACAAGAAACTATGGTTGGGAACAAACAAAACAAAAACAAGAACCATTCGCCAATCAACAAATATGTAGGAGAAAGTGGAGATGGATTGGACACTCGCTCGCTGAAGAGGCCACCGGGTGACATTGCGCGTGCGTCAGGCCATTGCTCGAGTGGAACCAGGCCAAAAGGGAAGCAAGCGGCGAGTGGGACGTCAGTGCAAGGGTGGGTTGACATGGAGGAGATCGTGTGAAGAGCAGTTGAAACAGTATGGACTAACATGGATGGATGCAGGTGAAAAGTACAGCAGAAGGAAGACAGAAGTAGCAAGTGGAGGGAGACGTGCAGTTGAAGCTCTATGTTCCACTAGGAACCCAAGGGAACAATAATAATAATAATAAACTATCCTTTTAGTTGTTGTTTATTATTATTATTATTTAACAAACAAAGAAAACGCTAAAACAGAAAAAAAACAAACAAACGAACAAAACGAAACAAAACAAGAGTAGATAGGCGTAACAGGAAGAAGAAGAAGAAGAATAGAGAAAAATCCTCCTACGCATGTAACACTGTATTGATTTCGAGTGAGTTATATAGGTATATATTCTTTTATTTCGCATTTGATTATACAATCATCATCAACAAACAGATTAAATGTGAAATAATCCTGAAGAAATTGGTAATTAATGATAAACTGTACTAGATCAGATAGACAGATAGGTAGATAGATAGATGAATGGATCTTATGTATCTATCTATCTATCGTAGTTGAACGAAAACAACAAATAGCACATTAGAATGGTCTTGAACTCTCATGTTATCTACCCCCCCACCACCACCCGTCCATTCATCCGTTTGTCTCATTCTTCAAATCAAAAGTGAAGGTCTCCATTTGTTGTTGTGTTTTCTTTTACTTGTTGACGAGTTTTTTTTTACAATTAAGTCTGTGTGGAAAATAAAGATAATAATGATAATAATACTAAGGCGGAAAATCATTACAACTTCGTGTTCCCACCCTATCAACAAAATCGATTTAAACTAAACAAAAAAAGTTGGCATAGAGAAAAGTTACTGGAAAATAGGATTATTGGCAATAGTCATATATTTATATGCATAGTGTATCTGTGTGTGTGCATATATATATATGAGCACACCACAGAGGGATGCGCACACAGGCACATATTCAAATCCCTAGAATATAAAGTAGTGGATTATTCAAGCGAAAATAATAATAATAACAGTACTGACAATAATCAATCAACAGCTACATTAAAAGAAGAAGAAGAAGAAGGGGAAACAACCAAAAAAACCCGAATTTTAAAAATATTCATGTTTTCGGTCAGTTTGGATATCCAAATCTTGCTTTGAACAATTAGGTAGTTAGTTAGTTAATTGGTTAATTAGTTAATAATATTCCTAGTAAGCTATAAAGAATGTCAGTGAAATTATGGCTGGCTGGTTGGTTGGTTGCTTGGTTGCCAAGACAACAGAGGTATTAAAATGAAGCATAGACTGACTGAGTGTGAGGATAAGTAAACGAATAAAAAAAAGAAGATAATTCACAGTATGTGCGTATGCAAGTATGTGTATTTGTGTGTGTGTGTCTGGTATGTATCATTCATTAATGATGCACACTAACTAGTGTGTTATGATTCAAGTGTTGCATTTGACACTTTATCCAAACGACGTTTCAACTTTTCAGCTAATTCCGGTGTAGCCAATGATTGGTTGAGATTGTTACCTTGATAGTCTAGCGATTGAGTTGGACAGGTTTGTTGTTGATGTTGATGCTGATTCGAAGTCTGATGGTTATCCTGTAGGGTAGAAAAAGAAACAAATCAATAAAAAAGATTGGGAAAAATTGATTCCATCGTAAACTCAATTTACACTGATAATAATGAATGGTATTTAAGTGTTGGTTTGTAGGGATTTGATTGATTGGTTATAGGATTTCATCATGAGCTGAGACATCAGTTAGAGAACCATTGGAAAACCTGGGAGTACTGGACAGCTGTTTCGTCCTAATGCTTGGGACTCTTCCACAGCAGTACGCACCCACCATAGGGGTTCGAACCCAGAACCTTCTTGTTACAAGGCGAGCGAGTTCGTATACCATTAAGCCACTGGGACCCGATCCGATGGCCAGCCAGTTCATGAATTCTAACTTCTGCCGATTCACGATATAGCACAACAGCTAGCCAATGTCATTGGTGGCGAGTATTTGTCCTCACAACCGACCTGCTATACACCCTACTGGTCGCGATTTCCCACTAGAATCCCAGTTAACCACCTACTTGAACACGGCCAGTCGCCAGTGAACATTTCATTGATATTCAAGTATTTTAATACCCTTAGAGCAATATGTAACATAGTTCTTTTTGACCAAGCCAGGACAGTAAAGAATAATGGGTGAGAGGCGAGATGAATCATAAATGTTTTGATGATAAGAGTTTCTTTAATCTCTCAATTATATCTATCCGTTTATCTATCTGACTTGGACAAGAAAGAAAAATACAAAATACAGTTAATTATGTACACATATATCCATCCTTCTAATGACATTTCATCACATACCGATCTAAGAGCCTAGAGCTAGCTAATTAGACTAAAACGTGGATATGTTTAATTTGATTTATGAATGTGATTAGATTAGTGTTGATAACACGGTGTTTACTCATAAGTTTAAGGTGTGCTAATCTATTTGATATGAAAGCAGATTTTATCAACAATCGCGCCATGAAGAATTAAAGAACTGGTAATTCAGCGAAGAGTCTCTTTTCGGCGGCGAATTCATTTTCATACCTGTACAACCGCAAATATATGTGGTTGTTTTGTATGTGTGTGTGTACATTAAATTAGTTAAACAAAAATACAATTGGTAAGTTCAGATGGATTGGATGCTGATATAAAACGGTAGTAACAAAAGCGATGAATTGTCGCAAACGATTGTTAAAGAAGAGTTACGTCATAAAATGAATCGTTTGATGAAAGAGTTGTGCTCAGAGTGTACATGGAAACAAAATAACATACTGAATTACGCAAGGGTTTTAAGTAGTTAGAAAAAAAAATAAGCATGCAAACAACAGTTAAGTCAAACCAACGCAGTTGTTACCATGAGAGTAGAAGTGGTTGAATAATTTTGTACTGCCTATGATTCCCAAACACTAGGCTGATAAAACAGCTGGCTGTCCAGTACTCCCTGTGGCTGGTGTTCAATGGTTCTCTAACTGATAACAATCTGTGATCAACTCGTAAAAATGTGTCTGTCTGTCTGTTTTCGACATAGAACTTTGCACCAATGTGCGGCCGTTTAAGTCGCCACACTCCCTCTATGTAGCACACAAAGCAAGAAAAGAAAGTAGAAGAAATGCATAATAGAGAGACAGTAAGCAGGTGTGAGACAAAGGAGAAGTAATAACGAAGAACAAAACTGTTTCATTGGAAATCATAAATCACGAGGAGTGGATGCATCTGCGCCACTGAGAACGGTTTTGAGCCATGTCATCAATCGTTTCCAACCATTGGTGTTTACCGTCCCGACGACCCCAACCTGAAAGTCTACACCTTCCTACGTGGCTTAGACTAACTGTTGTAGATTTCACTGACTGGTGCCATGTTTTTGTTTGACCGCCGCTAGCTTTTTTCCAGCCTGACCCTATATCCGCTAATATTACTCGTCGAGGAAGGCGATAACTAGGCATTCTTGCGTAACACATGTCTTAACCATCTCAGTCTTTGTAACTTCACAACTTCGTCGATTGATTTCCCCTGTTTACCTGGAACTCGACGCCTAACCTCAATATTGCTCACCTTATCATGCCACTTCAAACGGGAGATAGAACGCAGGCACCTATGATGAAAGACAGCTAATCTTTTTATGTCTTCCACTCTCAATGGCCAGGTCTCACAGCTGGCCATAAAGGAGAACGGAGCGGACTGATGACCAGTACACCCGCCGTTTGGTCGATAGTCGAATATCTCGTCTACACCAGAGGCGGCGTAAACTGACAAATGCGAAACGAGCCCCCTATATCCGTGCCGAGATTTCATCAGAGATCAACCCGTTGAGGCTGATGGTACTTCCCAAATAAGTGAAGCGGTCAATGTGTAATAATAATAATAATATCCATTTTTGAACTGTGCATAAAGTAAATAAGAGACAAGAAATTAAAACAAACCATTTTATTCAATTGTTTCTTTTCAATTAGTTCACGTTTCCAATTAGGTACAAGACCCCATTTCTTTAATTCTTCCTAAAGGCGAAAAAGTAACAAATTGAGAGAGAGAGAGGAGAATTAATTTTCACAACTATTGAAGTTATAATATAATATTATGGCAAATTGAACTGATTGATGTAACTGAGAGTGTGAAATGACAAATAAAACATGGTTAGACGGGTCGGTGGGTGGCTGGCTGTGCGTGTGTATGGATACATGATGCAATGAGCACCCCACCACCACCACCACCACCATTTGCATATACCTTTGATATTTATAATTTTGATCATTTTCGTAAAGACGGTAATACCAGTTTACTGAATGAAAAATTGGCATTTGTTCAGTGCAAACTGAATTCATTAGACACTAGTAACTAGTGTGATGTGTCTAGTCCTTTCTTTGGTGCAGACTGAATTCTATCAGTCAGTCAAGCCTGCAATATGACCACCAACAAGCTAGGCGGCTTGCTATCACCGTGCACTTTGAATTATTGATATTTAAATGGTTGGAGGCAATCGGCAGGATGCCTTGCCTGATTTAGATTTCGTGCTTGTTAGCAATCACCCGCCAGTCAACAAGGCGTATTTACAGTAAACAAAGGACTAAAGATACACGACACTAATTTAGTGTGTAATCAAAGTATCCAATATAATAATCGTACAGGAAGTCTGTGAATGAAGGCGGCACTGTGTGACACGAGTTCAAATCTCAGAAGGGGCGGCATGAGTTTCTTTCCAAGGCTGCGAATACGCCTTCTTGACTGGCGAGTGAGTGCCAAATAGCACGAAACTTAGTTAAGGTAGGGTTTCTTGTGGTCGACTGCCTCCAGTCATCTAATATTGATTATTCTTGTTCAACACAGTCTTTAAACTGAACCACTTTATTCTACAATATACAATATGACTACAGGTATTTAACAATCGTTACTATCCTAGTATTATTATTCAATGGTTTGTATAAAACTTGGGTGGGCTACTAAAAATCTCTATATCATTTATTAAACTGAATATAATTTTTCTAGTTCGCCTTGTTTCAATCTATTAAAATATGATCTTCAATGGTATTTTCTACTTCTGTGAGTAATTAAAATATTTGCAGCCTGGTGATTCTTACGTTTTTTCAATAATTTAATAATTCCCATTGTAGCATCAAGAACACAATATTCGGCGAAGAAGAGGCTCTTTTCATTCAACAACGAATTTATTATCAAGCTGTACAATCGTATATATATATATATATATATATATATGTGGTTTTTTTTAAGAAATTATATCTGGTGAGGGAATTAGATCAAAAGTGTGAATACATGAAATAATAATAATAATAGTAGTATGAAATGCAATTAAAATATTTGTGATTATAATCATGGTTTAATGTCAAGTGCCACAATAATTAATGTCATATATAGAATAATACATAAGGTGTATAGATTTTGGAAATGGGTGTGTAATTATAGGATTAGTGGGCGAATATAAAATGTTACATAATATGGTGTGAAATTTGATAAGATAGAATTAAATATTGAAAAATAAAAAAAAATAGCAAACGTAAAGACGGATATCTCAAAAGATCTATAAACCGGAAACGTACATGGGACAGACAACTAACTAATGTCTACAATTGGGTGCCTATCTCCAAGAAAAAGAACCTAATTCATTCGCTCTGCTTTAGGATGAAGAAAATTTGTAGTTCTGATTGTGTTGACTCGGAACTTGACTTCTTAAAAGCCATGCTGGCAGAAAACGGTTACCATAACCGATTTACTGACAGAAACATGAAAGATAAGCAGTCTGCACTGGTCATCGACTCAGTTTTAAAAAAAAGCCTTATTCATAAACTTGAAATTCAAAGGTGATCAAGCTTCAGATATGCTCAAAAATCGTCTCTGTAAATCAGTCAGTAAGACGTTCTTTGCAGCAAAATTACATATGACGTTCACTAGCCGCAAGTTGTTCTCTACCTCTGTAAAAGAAAAGTTCCCCTGTCTGGCTACCTGCATGTACATATGTCAGTTCACCTGCTCTTGTAGAGCAAGGTACATTGGCCGTAGTCAGAGGACGTTTTGCACACGGATAGGAGAACATATTCCAGTAGCAGAAAGCTATAAAACTCAAGTTTCGAAGTTGTGTGATTATCATTGATGATTTGATTATGAACAATAATAGATTGTGTTCACAAAATTATCCAGTAAATAGTAATAATACTGTTTCATTGTGTGATACACATCTAATAAACAAACTAGTATGGAATTAAATATTTGTTTGACTCAAATTAATTGTGAAATAATAATCAACACTTGTAAAAGAATTCTAACAATAGACCTTACTGTATTCAGTGGTTTATAGACTGAACAATGAAACTATACTGTTGATCTGGATCTAAAAAGTTTTAGCTTAAATGAAATTTAACTGTTTGCTCTATTGCTGCTCATCTCATTTTTTATCATAAATACACTACACTGGTTAAGCAAAATACACATATAACAACTATAAAAAGGTATGAATGTGTGTGTGTGCATGTATATCAAGTATACTTACTGCATACAAACTAGCTGCTTCACGATTCTTTCTCTCTAATCGATGTGTTTTCCAGTCTGGTAGACCAGGTGGAATAGAATGATAACCAGGGATTTGAGTAGCATCAACTGTAATAAATACAAGTGAAATGGCTTTCATATACGAAAATTTTAACAAAAAAATACAATATTTTAGTAGTTACCGAATTTCATCATGAGCTGACATCATTTAGAGAACAATAGGAAAACCACCGGGGAGTACTGGACCGCCATTTCGTCCTAGTTTGAGACCAGTAGGATGCAGCAGGTCGGATGTGAGGACAAATACTCGCCACCAATGACATTGGCTAGCGGTTGCGCTATATCGTGAATTGGCAAAAGTTAGAATTCATGAACTGGCTGGCCATCGGATCGGGTCCCAGTGACTTAATGGTATACGAGCTCGCTCGCCTTGTAACCAGAAGGTCCTGGGTTTGAACCATGTTGAAGGGTGCATACTGCTGTGAAAGAGTCCCAAGCACTAGGACGAAACAGCTGTCCAGTACTCCTTGCAGGTTTTCCAATGGTTCTCTAACTGATGTCTCAGCTTATGATGAAATCCTGTAACCAATCAATCAAATCCCTACAAATCAATACTTGAATAGGGAGAAAGTTCGAATTTACGAAAATCAATGCATAATTTTGTATAATGTTACTTGAGTATTTAATCATATTCACTTTGAGTGAAGTCGATGGAGTAAAATCATTGAATAGAATCAGTTCACCTTGTACATACTTCAGTGAAGTGTTTTTAAATAATTTTCTGGCTCTTGAGTTGTTTTTTTTAGTCCGAAAAACATTTCGACATCAGTCTCCCTTATGAGGAAATGAAGACAATAGTCTTATTATAGCTTGATTGATTGAGTAAAAAGGAAAATAGATAACAAGGATTCGACAGGACTCTGATACACACACTTGTGTATTTGTCCACTTTTGGCCCGTTACCTATCATCACTTCTGATATCCCTAATGAGTAAGTATACACGTTATAGAGCAAGACAGAAATTTCCAACACTTTCATCTCAATATATTTGAATTTCCTCACTCAATTAGTTGGTCTGATATGATTTCGTATTACGTAAGTGCTTAAAGGAGCACTTTACCCATATTAGATAGTAAATATTTGGCTATTGGATATTGGCCATGGTGTGGGTTGTGCGATTGCGATTAAAAGCAAAAATTTATGTACGCAGAAAGAGACAGTGGTGAATGCTGCACTGCCTTGATGATAAAAAAGTATACAAAATTAACTACGTCTTTTTCTGTCCTATTTAGAAAACTTTATGTTTTCGTCTAAACATGGCTCACCCTAACGCGTTTACTTTCTTGACTATTTTATTAAAAAAAAAACATATTTTCTATTGAATTATTTGTGTTCTCTAAGGTGCTGATTGATCTAAATGCGAAGCTTTCAGCACAGGTTTTACTACACAGTAAAATTATTTGAATTCTCCCTCTCCATAATTGATGATGTAATTGCAATTCCTTGTAACCACCACTGTCGTGATTGAGTGTTAATTAATTTATTTCTCTATTGATCTCTGAATCATACATCAGACTGTGAGGAGCGAGGAGATAGGAATACGTTGGACCACTGATAAAAACGACTATAGAAGATCTGGATTTCACGTGTAGATGATTATTTTATTTTTTTATTTTTATTTTTGATTTACAGCTTGATTCCACACTGTATTTTTGGTACAAGTATGGAATTTTCAGCGTGGATATCGGTAGCCCAAATTTCACAGGCCGACCATAGATATCAGGTGTGCGCCGGCGAGGGCTCGAACCCCGGACCATGTGCATGGTCGGCGAGAGTCCTAACCACTGTGCCACCGACGCACGTCTAATGGCGAAAACCAACAGACTGCCTAAAGAAGCAGTCATACAATACAAGACTTCAGGTGAACATAGAGAAGGTGGAGATGGAGGAGATGAAGAAAACCAACCAACCAACAACAACAACCAGCACTAATCACCATCGACGGAAGAGATTTGACAGAGGTCCCTTCTTTCACTTATCCAGCTAGGAATCATCGTTTCAACTACAGACACACAGAACGAATGCATATGTCAAAACTGGCCAACCAGAATCGGAAAGTCAAGGCAAGATACGCCTTCATCAACCTAAAACCATTTTGGAAATCTTCTGCACTCAGCCTCAGTATAAAGAACAGGATTCGGATTCCATTCAACACCAATGTCAAGTCAGTCAGTCAGTCAGTCAATTCTTCTATACGGGTCAAAAAATTGCACACTGCGTGTCACGAAAAGGATTTGCAACAGGCTGTTGGAGAGGTTTATCAATAGCTGACGCCTTATCTGGCCGCATACTGAAAGTCACATGGCTGGCTAAAGAGAATTAGCAACAAGAAAATTTGACTGGGAGCAAAACAAAAACAAGAGTCGATCACTCAACAAATATGTAGGAGAGAACAGAGATGGATTGATCGGGCATACCTTGAGGAAGCTGTTGAATGATATCGCCTGCAATGTAGGCCATAAATCGAGTGGAATTCAAATAGGAAGCGATGAATGAGTCGTTGGTGTGAGGATGACATGGAGTAGATCATGTTTTGGGAATGAGATGAGAGATTGTGGATAATCATGGACCCAGCTGAAAAGGACAGCAGAAAATAGAACAAAGCGGAGATATGTTTTTGAAGTCCTTTGCTCCACTCGGAACCCCAAGGGGATAATAATAATAATAATTATAAGTCTTAAACTATCATATCGATGTGGAATAAGGCTAGGATAAAAGCTACCGTAAGGTGTTATTTTTCGGTGCATCGGTTTTGTAAACATCACACAACAGATGTATGTATTTCATGAAGAATTCAAATAAAGCCTGTCTAAATACTAAAGCCTATCCACTGAATATGTTGTCTAGAATGGTAAAGCAATGAAAGCTTCGCAATGAAATCAACCAGCTTCTCAGAGAACACAACTCATACAAAATTATTAAATTCATTCGCAGTAACAATCACTTCAATCTGTCAATCATATTTTGTTAAAATCGATATAAAACAATTTTTGCTAAAAAGAGAAGACAAGAAGCAGACAAAAGAAACTATAACAATTGACTGTCTAATAAGTAAGTTAGTACTTAAAAATTTCAATAATAACTTCATTCAACTTACTCTTTTAATATAACCGTAAGAATAATAATAATCATCATAAAATTGATTGAAGTTGGAATAAGAACTTTGTTATGTACTCGTCGCTAAATTATTGTTATGTACTGGTCGAGAATTTAATAGTCCTGACACAAGAAGGCGGAAATCAGAAGACCACTAGGTTTGAGATGATAGTTCTATTGTCCAAACACAAGGAGACGCAATAAGTAATATCACACCAAAAGTAAGTAAGTCACACAAATTGTGAGAGCGAAATATATATGAATGTTCAGACAAGGGTGTGAACACATCATTAGACAGTCTTAACATGAATGGTTAATTATAATGAAGTATCGATCCATATATACATAGCGAAATATAACAGACATGTCAACAACCACCATATATGGATATATGTCACCAAGCAACGGACTGTCAACAAACACTCATATTATATATAATATAAGGAGAATATACATTGTTAAAGGAGACAGGTTCATCAAAGTGAAATGGTCACAGACTAAGCGAGCAAACAGAAAGAGAGATCACCATACACACACACATATATACATATGTGGATACCTATCAAACTTCAATCACGAAGACAACAAATTTATATCAATAAAACCTAGGAGTTTTACTCCCCAGAACTCTGAAAACCAATCAACCAACCAACCAGCCAACCAACTAAGAACCTATATAAAAAAAATATATTTGTGAAATCTCACAGAAATTGAAATGGGTAATTTCCAATGTTTCCTGAGTTCAGCAAAACTGGTCTGAACTTCTTCATGGAAATCAATCGAAATTATATATTATAACAAAGGTAAACATCATAAAAAAAAGGATATCTCTTGTCTTGGTGATTCCTTACTTCAAAGAAATATCAGACGAGAGATAAAGTGAATCCTTAACAATCATAACATTAAAGTATATTTGTGTGCAACCAACACCTTATCCTCATTATTAGTAAAGGTTAGGGATGATAAAAATAGGAGATAACCAATAAATAGAATTTCGTGTACCAGATTAATTGTGGGGATTGTGAAGCCGGATATGTAGAAGGGATTTCCAGACAGGTAAATATTAGAGTGAAGAGGCATAAATAATGTCTAACGGTAGTTTCAAAGACCTCTGAAGACTTGAAGAAGCTAGAAAACAGATCGGTGATTGCAATGCACTTGATATAAACGGGACACAATATCGACTTTGATAAGACTAAGGTTCTACAAAAAGGTTTTGGTTTATATGAAGAAGGACCATCTGACTGCAGAAGCCCTACATATATAATGGGTGAATGCCAAAAGTTTGAATAGATGTGAAACTGTGATGTTAGCTGATGCATGGTAAGTCCTGATTAATAAGTAAAAACGAGTATGTACGTCTAATCAATCAATCAATCAAACTTGATCTAAATTCCTGATTGCCTCTATCTTCATATGAAGAAGCTAACGTATATATATTTTCTTTCATATTCACTTATCTACCGACCAAGAACTTTAGTCGCATGTAGTCTGACGCTAAAGTACACACAGTTTACAGTGTTTAACAACAAAAGTACATCGATATCTGTAAGTCTAAGGTCAAATTTTGATCACGATTCATGCAGTTTTGTTTGTTTATAATACTTTGATGTCTGTTTCATGACTCGCATGATTGGACCAAGTTTTTGTGGGTCGCGCTAAATCACGAACTAGTAGAAGTTAGAATTCATGAGCCATTGAATCGGGTCCCAGTGGCTGAATGGTATACGAGCTTGCCTTGTAACCGGAAGGTCCCGGGTTCGAATCCCAGCGGGTGCGTACTGACGATGATTCCCAAACTAGGATGAAACAGCAGCTGTCCAGTACTCCCTGGTTTTCAATGGTAAAACCGTAAAACATAAGTAATCCTTACAAACCAAACTATAGCAAGTTTTTAAAGACAAGACATGTCCTTTTTTTATGATAAATACCTTTGTTATACCATAATTTCGATTAATTTCCTCGAAGAAGTTCAGACCAGTTTTGCTGAACTCAGAAAACGTTGGTAATACTCATTTCCATTGCTCTCAGATTTTACAAATATAATTTTTACAAATGTCTACTTCTCACTCGGCGTCCAATGATTTTGAAGCCATTCTGTCAAATCTTGATCACAGTTCATATGAATTATTGAATTGAATTTTTGATTTTCCCGTCGATTGATTGGACCGAAGTGTTCGGTCTCAGGTTGACATGTCGACGGGAAAATCAAAAATTCAATTCAATAATTAATATATGACCCGTTGCACAAGAGGTGGCTCTCGTGGCCCAAGTGGTCTAGTGGATAACGCTTTGGCGTTTGAAACTATGGGCACTGGGTTCGAGCCTCGGTGGGAACATCATCACTCACTGAGAAATGCAGGCACATCCAGCTGACGAGTCCCAATTAGGACGAAATGCGCATCCTGGATTCCACTGCTAGCCACCATCCACCAATTGTATACAGTTCATATGAATTAAGAACCTATTGCCTAATAAGTATATCGATGAAAAAAATAGAGATGGATCGGAGACACGCTAAGAAGACCGTTCAGTGATACATCGGGCAACATGTCCTAGACTGGAACCCGGCTGGGAAACGACAAGTTGGGTGTTAGTCCGGCGTTGACACGAAAGAGGTCTTGTGAGGATATATATATATATGTTCCAGATTTTACTCACTGATAATACTCAAAGTAACTGGTTCACGTTACGACTTATATACTCAGGATGGCTATTTCATTCACGTTGTGCAAAAGATGACTGTTATGTACTCGTCGCTAAATTATTATTATGTACTGGTCGAGAATTTAATAGTCCTGACGCAAGAAGGCGGAAATCAGAAGACCACTAGGTTTGCGATGATACTTCTATTGTCCAAACACAAGGAGAATGCAATAAGTGGTCTCACACCAAAGTGGTAAGTAAGTAAAGTAGTTCACACAAATTGTGTGAGCGAAATATATATGACAAGGGTGTGAACAATCATTAGACAGTCTTAACATGAATGGTTAATTATAATGAAGTGTCGATCCATATATACATAGCGAAATATAACAGACATGTCAACAACCACACATAATATGCATATATGTCACCAAGCAACGGACTGTCAACAAACACTCATATTATATATACTATAAGGAGAATATACATTGTTAAAGGAGACAAGTTCATACAAGTGAAAAGGTCACAGACTAAGCGAGCAAACAGAAAGAGAGACCAACATACACACACACACATACACATAAATATATATATGTGGATACATATCAATGACCTTAACAACAATTCAACAGAATCTATCAAGCTGACCTATTAGGTTACTAAAGTGAAGTAAATTAACCACCTATGGAGACAACATGTTGACTGGACAATATTATTTTATTATTATTATTCCCTTGCGTTCCGAGTGGAACATAGGGCTTCAACAACACATCTCCAATTTGTTCCGTTTTCTGTCGTCCTCTTCAGCTGGGTTCACAACTGACAAAACTCTCTCATCTCCCTCCGCTCCACACAATCTCCTCCATGTCACCCTCGATGTGACAACCCACTCGTCGCTTTCCATTCGGATTCCACTAGAGTACTGCCCTGGCGTGCGATGTCATTCAGTGACCTCCTCAATGCATGCCCGATCCATCTCCACTTTCTCCTACAGCGATCGAATCTTGGTTGGTTCGTTCCCAGTTTCTTGTTGTTTATTCTTTCTGTCTAGACATCTGGTCTCCATTATGGAACTAGAGAAGGCAACTGTTGATGAAAGTCTGCAACAAGCTGTTGAAAATCCTTTTCGTGGCACGCTGGCCAAGTTTCTGAACCACACAGAAGAACCGACTTTATATTGGTGTTCAAAATGCAAGTATTGTTCTTCATGGTAAGGGGGAGTGCAGAAGATTTCAAAACTGGTTTCAAGTTGATGAAGGCGTATCTTGTCTCGACTTTCCAATTCTGGCTGCCGTTGAAGTATTCATTCGTTCCGCGTGCCTTTAGTTGAGACGATGTTTTCTACATAAGTGAAGTCAAATCTCTCCCGTCGGTGGTGGTTATTGTTGTTGTTGATTGGTTATCTCATCAGCTCCGTATCCACCTTCTCTATGTTCACTTGGAGTCTTCACTGGATGCTTCTTCAGCCACTTTGTTGGTTTTCACCTGTAAGTCATCGATTTAGCGTGACGTTAGACGTACATCATCTACACGTGAAATCCAGATCTTCTAGAATCCTTTTATCGGTGGTCAAGCTTACTTCTGACTCCTCCCCCCTCCAACAATCTGAGGCATAATCCAGTCCACCACAATTAATAATATCATGTGTGACGATAGGCAGTCTTGTCTTACTTCTATGTGCACGTTGAACGCCTCGCTGAATTTTCCGTTGCAGACCACTTGACACGTAGCATTGTCAGATTATAGCTCTTGAATGAGGTTGACAAAGACTTGAGCACTACTAGCCGTAGTGTTGAAGTAGTTTCTAAATTACTTCTCCGTCTATGCTGTCGAAGGCTGATTCGACAGTAATAAGTCATACGTATGTATAAGCGTGTAACATAAACGATCTTGGATCTGCAGAAGTGCCTCAAAAGGTATCCCGAATATGTGTGTATAACCCATCGGGAAAGCTCAAAGTAAATTCAATAATTAACTGATACCCATTGCAAGACAAGCAAGCAAGACAAGCTTTCATTACTCTCAAATCTGTGTGGAGGTCAACAGCAATCAGCATCAAAAATAAGATCCGGATTTTCAACTCCAATGTGAAGTCAGTGCTACTATACGGATCAGAGACTTGGCGAGTCATAAAGAGCATCTCAAACAAACTTCAAACCTTCATTAACAACTGTCTCCGCTCAATACTCAAGATCAGATGGCCAGAAAAGATCAGCAACAGGGATCTCTGGGAGCGAACCAATCAGGAACCGATTGTGAAACAAATAGGCAGAAAGAAATGGAGATGGATTGGCCATACGCTGAGGAAACCATCAAGTGACATCACTAGACAAGCCATTGCTTGAGTGGAACCCGAAAGGGAGGCGGCGAGTTGGTCATCCAAGGGTGACTTGGAGGAGGTCATGCGAGGAAGAGATGAAAGCATGTGGACAGACCTGGAGCAGGGTGAAAAAGTTGTCAGAAAACCGAAGTCAATGGAGGTGCGCAGCTGAAGCCCTATGTTCCTCTAGGAACTAAAGGATACAATAATAATAATACATTGCAAAACAAGTGACCGCCTTGTTGGCTGGCTCAAGTGGTCTAGTGAATAGTGCTTTGACATTTGAAACTATGGTTACTGGATTCGAGTCCCAGTTGAGGGGGCGGGAAGGGGAAACACCATCACCCACTGACTGGGGAATGCAGGTATATCTATATAATGAGTCTCAAATAGGGTGAAAATATGCATCATAGTGGATTGCACTGCTTGTCAGTCACCATGCACCAAACTAATTTATATGTATGACTAATTTGCAGGTTATAATATATATATTGATGAAAACGCCCATTTGATATCAGATAAAGAAACAATTAGTAGAAAAATAGAAATCACACTTTATTGGACATACAATCTCATCAGCAGTTTAACAAAGAAGGACGCACGCACACAAGCACGTCCGCACGTGTACGCATACACACACACACACACACACATTTTGTTATAAATGAATTGAATTCAATTGAACAACTTGAGATCTACTGTTACCTCTACAGGTAAATCAGATGATAAGATAGATGCTTGACAAAGCAACAAAGACAACCAGATTAATAACAACACGCGGTATTGAAAGAAAAAGAAAAACAAAGATACATTTAAACAAAATTACTGAATTATTAACAAAGTAAAACTATGACTAACCAATATTGAATTGATTAAATATAGCTAATGTATTTGAATCTAAATTCATCGACTGTACATGAACTATAGAAGAAGAATCTAAGAGTTAAGAGAAAAGAAAAAAAATTACAAAATAAAGAAACATAATTTTTATAAACAAAAGGGTTACTCTAAACTATTATTATAGCAAACCCAAAACGAAACTACATAATGAAGACCTTGACAAATCTCTATCGACCAATCAGATGCGTCTGAAGTAAGAGCGCGTAATTTGAAGAAAAACATTTATATAAAAGTAGGGTAGCGTTCTTGTTTATGTTCCAAGAAAACCTCCCAATTTCTCACTGGAGTCCTCATTAATTAGGTGAGACCGATTTCCGTACATAAATTCGTCGTGATAACTGTAAGACATCGTGTTTCTCAACTCATTTACCTCTCTGATCCTCTTTTTCAGGTTACTCCAGAAACTTTCGATGGCATTTGTGTGAGTCACATAGAAAAGATCAACGAAATCGAAGGACTGAACATTGGCACTACGATCAAGGATCGTCCGGATGAAATATCCTATCCTCAGGGTGGTGTCATGTAATCGCAAAAACCACTGTTGATTAGCACTCAATCTACTGCGATTGTGTTTCCTTATTATAAGCACTGTTTCTTCCACATGAACAATGACACCAACATCACTAAGCATTGTTCATTTTACATGAAGTATCTTCCATATTTCTGGTATTTGCACTGAGTCATTTCTGTTGCATGTGTTGGGTATAGACTCAATGAACCAGGATTCAGTAATCAACCTCTCTCTCCACTTACATAGATTACTTCTTAGAATCTTAACCCTCTCCCACCACCCTATTGTGTGGTTGTACGTTAACGAATGTAGTGCAATCGCTGAGCTTTTTTCTAAATTACTTATCTTCTCGAGTAGGGTCAACCATTCTTCCCTTAGCTAAATTCTCATGTACCCACAATCTGATTACCCGTGACCTACTAGTTTGACCTATGTAGTTGACCTGACTCACAGTCATTACAAGGTATTTTGTAAATTATATTTTGTTTAATTGGATCAACTGGGTCCTTTAACCTACAGAGCTTGTCCTATCTGAGTGAGTTTGTAGGTTTGAATGCCACCCTAATTCCTGCTTTATTAAGAATCCTACGTAGTGTCTCGGATGTCCCTCTTTATATGGTATAACTGTAGGTGACTTATGTTCTCTCTTATTTATCTTATTTTAATAGTTTCACAATTGATTTTATTTTTCGTTTGGCCTTTTTGATCTTCCTAATAAATTTTAAAGGATAGTTATTTAACACCAACGCCTCTTCTATCTGTTTGATTTCATCGTTTAGGTCTTTTCTTGTACTAATTAATGCTACTGCTCGGTTTGTTAAACACTTAACTAAGCCTGCCTTAACAGTTAACGAATGAGATGAATTAAAGTCTAAGTATCTACTAGAATGAGTTTTTTTTTACACACAAGTGCAGTTTGCTTCTTCTATTCGTTTTAGGTTAAACTAGTAGGTCAGGGGTAGTCAGATTGTCGGGACATAAGAATTCAATAAGGTAAGAATGGCTGACCCCGAGAAGATAAGTAATTTAGAAAAAAGCTCAGCAATTGCAATGCGTGCAACAGCACATAACCACACAATAGGGTGGGTGAGAGAGGGTTCAAATTCTAAAAAGTAATCTAGGTAGGTGGAGGGAGAGGTTGATTACTGAATCTTTGTTCATCGAGTCTACACCCAACACATGCACTAGGAATGATTCACCACTCATACCTGAAATATGAAAAATACTATTACCAATCAAATCAAGTGAAAAATAATAGGACTATATAAATGAAGTTAGGAAGTCGTGTGAGTACCTTGATATGATTATGAGCAAGAAATAGTGCTTGAAACGGGGTCATCAGTAAACATTACTGTATAACACTGTGAGACTTTATCAAAATAAAAAAATTAACCATAATGGAATTACACTCTACCACAGTGCACAGGTTTTATTCTTATAACATTAAATCTTGCTTTATCAACTTCTGTCGCTTGTTATAAATGAAAAAGACAGAAACGACATAGGTAAATCATAGTCATTCGAAGAAAACGAGTTAGTTCATTTGGTGAGATGAGTCGAATTTCGGCGGAAAATGAAAAGAAGTATTAGAAAATGATGATAAAAGCATTAAACAGGATACTGTTCTTTAATATTTTGTAAGAATAACTCCCAGTATCCCATAACAGTATCGATAGCTATCCAATTGATTATCCTTCAAAAGCAAGTATTAGACACTTCTTTTCCTGATGAAATCAATTCTGTTATCAACTTTTAATTCGAATTTTCCGCTATAACTGATCGATTATTTACCCAAAAATCTGATTGGTAGATTCACAGTCACATTTGTGAGCTTATTTGCTTCCTGCATTTTATACATGGTATTTTTTTCCTTGACGTTCCCCAGTGGAACATAGGGCACCTTCAAGCTAGAGGCTTGACGTTTCTGTAGCAGTGGTATTTATTTTTACAGGATGGGGTTGCTAGCCAGCCGCATGCCCAACCTTTCTTCTTTACCAGCATTATTTCTGGCTTAGCGAGGTAAAGGATTGCGTCTGTAGTCGTGGATCGAACCCCGGACCATGTGGCATGGTCGGCGAGCGTCCTAACCGCTATGCCACCGACGCACCACAATTAACGTAATCATTTAGAAAATCAACCGCCCAATGTTAAACTCTTTTTTTTCAAATGTTCTGCTGATAGTTTTATCTGAAGTGGCAAAAAATAAAGATTGACTATTGAATGCTTCAGACCATTGAAAGCAACCGCCTTTCTACTAAATGTTTGAAGAAAACACTTCAAGCAACCATCGTACGCTTCACATTCTTCAGCAGACGATTGATCCAGCTCCTGTCGGCGTCAAGTAAAATTCTGAGTCGCATCATCCTGGAAATAAATAAAGGACGCACTGGATACAGAATTCCGACCAGATACATACATAGTATAATTGACGATTTAACCTTTGAGTATATCTTGCTTCTTTCATCCACCTGTAACTTAAACAGAACCATATTCGAGGATCATTCAGGCTAATCGGCTGTTATGTGATAGCAGCGAATCAACCAGTGATATGCTTCATATGACCTTGAACCTAACGGAAACAAATGATGACGAGTAAATTGAAATTCAAAAGTCTACCATCAGATGCACTACATATATATATATATATATATATATATATACAGAATGGTAGTCTTTACAAGTACAAACATTTCCTGGGCAGAAAAAACAAAATCACAAAGATTAGCAATAGATAAGAAGTAAATCGACAACAAAATCATTCAATTCACCTGCTGTAGAATCAGATGACAATCGTCGTTGTAACAAAGTACCACTGAGTTGATGGACTACATGTGAATCAAGTTGTTGTTGATGTTGTGGCTGCTGATAATGATGAACACGAGGATTGTGATTTAACGTTGAATCTTTACCATTGTTACCCGAGTGGTTGCTATTGTTGGTTTTATTATTATTATTATTATTACTATTATGAGCTGCTTTAGACAATCCACCACCTGACATATTCCCTGAAAAACGAGAAAAGAAATATCGAAAAGAACAATCCTTGGTAACTGGACGCTTTTTTCTCTCATCTGATTACGTAATCTTTGTCTTTAACCTCACCCTCCCTTTTAAAATCTGTAATTTTGCTTGTCTCTTGTTTCTATGATTTGAGCTCACCTCAGTACATTGTTACCTAACTTACTAGTCACTATGCATCTAACGCACATCTCATTTTTATTATGTAACTCCTTTACCATTTTCTGCATACATTTATTTTGTTTTAACTTGAACTGCCTGTGTAAAAACTATATAAGCGCAATTTTCTGAGCACTGTTTACTAATTGTGGAAATTTCTGTCAACTGACAACATGTAAAATTTGCAAGTATGTTAAAACATGTCTGTACTTAGACCTCATAATTTATTTACGCTGTAAACAGCTGATGGGAAGCCAACAAAATAAATGATGGTACTATATTGTTCTGCTAAAACTGTAGTTCTTGCTTTGTTCAAAAACAAATGAAAATAACTAAATGACTGACTATTTTCAACATAGAATTAGTTTGCAGAGATATGCACCAGTTCAACTCGCCACGCTCCCTCTTTGTTCCATACACAGAAACAGAAGAGAGTGAAGAGAAATTCAAAAGAGAGAGAGAGAGATGGTAAACACATATGTGGGTGAGGTAAAAAGGTTAGTTGCATGAAAGAACAATAGAATCCTATTGGATGGATTTGACAAATCACTCCCAAAAAGTGATGAATGCATCTCCGCCATCATCAAGAACGAGGATTTTGAGCCATATCATCAATTATCTCCAGCTACCGTTGGTTCTCATCATCCCGAGGACCCTTACCAGCCAACCAGCAAATCTACAACTCTCTACGTGGTTGCCTTAAACTAATTGTTGTGGATTTCATTGAATGATGAAGCCATGCTTTCTTTTAAGTGCTGCTGACTCTTTTCCAATCTAATCAATCCTATGCGAGCTACCATTGCCTGTTGTCGAGGAAGGCGATGGCTAGGCATGCGTCGTAACACATGTCCTAGTCATCTCAATCGATGTAACGGCTTCACAACCTTGTTTATTGATTTCCTCTCCCCTCCACACACTTATGGGGGATATAAATGATCTCGTTCTGTGAATTGATTCAAACAAGAATCAATTTCATCTTTGCATACCTAACAACTTATTGGTTATACATTATAAACAATGACCTGCTTTTTGCATTGAGTAATTCATACCACACCCTCATAGCATGCTATTGATGGGAGTGAAAGAATGACTGAGGCATAGAATTCCTGGACGATTGCGTGGGTGGGTGGGTGCTGGGCGGTAAGATAACTAAAGAAAACACAGTACAAAGAAGAAAAGAATCATTTGTATTAGCATAGATGTATCCAAAACACCCTAATTCCCCTGATACCTTGAAATTAAAAAAAAAACGAATACTATGCGTAAATTTTCCCTTTAACTTTTTATTTATGTTTTACATGAGACTTCGAAAAAAAGAATGCTTACGTTAACACTGATTTTCAATGAATCATTCTATTACACACCTTGTAACTGGAAACCCCTAGGTTAGAACCCGCGTTGGATGTGTACTGATGCAGAATTCCAAACTAGGATGAAACAGCTGTCCAGTACTCCTTGATTTTCCAGTGGTTCTCTAACTGAAGTAGTTTTGTGGATAGTGACTAACAGTGGAATCCAGGATGCGTATTTCGTCCTATTTGGGACTCGTCATCTGGATGCACCTGCATTCCCCAAGAGTTTGAGCACTTAGGTCCAACCAATCAACAGGAAAGTTCAGATTGAATTAAATAGTTCTCTAACTGATCTCAGTTCGTGATCAAACCTCTACTAAACACTGAGTTGCAAACTGACAAGACCAAAGTAAATGTCCTGACGTTTGAACTATTGTGCTCATTGGATTATAAAAATTAAATGATGAACATCGGCGAGTTTCGATTCAACTATACCCATTAAGGAATCGATGAAAAAGATGCATCGCATGCTGACAGATGTCACTGTTTCATTAAACTAGTTATGAAAAGAAGGTAATGTGTCCAAAAATACTAACTGAACATGCTTTATTTTCACACTATTGTGGTGAGTGCTACTTATAATCGCATATAAGTAGTATATCAATAAACGAGTTCAGAAAAGTACCAATATGTTTTGGTAACAGGGAAAAGCAATCGAAGAAGAGAAGTGTGAGAAGAACGCTGCAAATACTGTGTAGAATTAAAAAAGTTATCGAATTTAGTGATACTCGACCAATTTGAAAATGATGTGCAAATAAAGATAAGGTGTACCAAATTTATGCACCTACAATGCATTTGTTCTGATAGACATTGACTTCGAGGTTCATTAGTCTTTTCTTCTTGACACTAGTAAAACGCTATTAGTACTATCAAATTACTTTGAGTACGCAGTGGGGCGAAAACCTTCAAGCTTGAGCTCTAGAGTTTCAATAGCGGTGGGGGGGGGCGGGGTGAGGTCGGTAGTCTCACGCTTAACCTTCTCTTTTTACCTGACTTACTATCGGCTAAACTTGGCTTAGGAATGTATCCGACGGGAATCGAACTGTGAACCACGCGCACATAGTTGACGAGGATTCTATCAGTGGACCACAGACACAGTACCATGTCAATATAATATATATATATATATATTGTTTTGTCAAGAAAAATCATTAACTTCTCGGTCACTAGTTACCATGACAACACAATGGTTTCGATTTCAAATGCAATTATTAGTAAGGGGGAAAACAAAAACAAGATTACAGTTGAATAAAATTTTCGAAACAAAACCACTGATGAATAAGTGAATTATGTGAACTTACCAGAAGATAGAAATGTTGAAGTATTTGTGTGATGCATTGTAGTTGTTTGTGAAACAGATGAAAAGTTTGTCACTGTAGAATTGAAGTCACTATTGAGTACAATATAATGCAATATGGAGTAAAGAAATAATAGAGAGTGTATGATTAGTCTTGAAAATTTTGCAAAGTTTTTAATAATTATATCTTTTGCAATTATCATTATCATATTAATTTGTTTATTAGCTGTATCACACAGTGAAATAGTATTATTTACTGGATGACAAGGTTTCGAACACAATTAATTACTGTTCATAATCACATTAATTATAATCACACGATTTCGAAACTTGATTTTTATAGTTTTCTTTGTTCTCACCTATTTGTCGTCGTCGGGGTAGTAGAATTTTCCAGACGTTCTATTGAAGAGGTGTTGAATCATTCCTATTACACGTGTTTTCAATCAGTTGATTCGATAAACAAAGCTTCTGTTGTTATCGATCTCTCCCTCCACCCTGTGACATTACAATATAAAACTCTCATCTTATCCCATCCATCCTATTGTATGGTTGTGTGTAATTAAATGTAGCAAGTGCTATCTACAGTTGAACTATTCTCTAGATTTCTTTTCTTATTTGGGTCAACCAATCTAGATTTCGCTGCTAGGTTTTTATGCTCGGCTAGTCTAACTGCCCCTGTTCTACTACTTTGACCTATGTATTTGACCAGACAATCATTAAAAGCAGAAGGATAGATAAACCAAATTGTTTTGTTTTAAAGGCTCCACAGGATTGATCCTTTAACCGACCAAGCTTGTTCCTAATTAAGTTTGTGGGTTTGAATGCCATTTTTATTCTTTCCTTGTTAAGAATTCTGAGTAAGGTCTCCGAAGTTCCTTCCTTGTGTGGAATTACTACTGATGATTTAGATTCCTTATTGTTGGTGTTGTCTTGCGCATATTTGACATGCATGTCGTCATCATTATTATCATTATTATTATTACCACTATTATCATTATTTATTTTATTTTTACATTTCCCTACATATTTCTTGACTAATTTATCAGGATAATTATTAAGTATTTTTAATATATTTATGCCTTGAAGAGGAGTTGAAACAGTATGGACTAACATGGATGCAGGTGAAAAGTACAGCAGTAAACAGAAGCAAGTGGAGACGTGCAGCTGAAGTCCTATGTTCCACTAGGAACCCAGGGAACAATAATAAATAATAATTATTATTAAGTAGTGATAATAATAATAATAATCTAGCGAATAGTTCAGCTGTAGATAGCTCACCCTAGATGTAATTACACACAATCATACAATAGGATGGATAGTCTAAGATGACAGTTTTAAAATCTAATGTCACAAGGTAGAAGGAGAGATTGATAACAACGGAAGCTTTGTTTATCGAATCAAATGAACAAAGATAGGTGTAATAGGAATGATTCAACACCTGTCAGCCAAGATATCTGGAAAATTCTACTACCCCAATGACGACGAATAGGAGAGAACAAATAAAACTATTAAAACTCAAGTTTCGAAGTCGTGTGATTACAATCGATATGATTATGAACAATAAATTTTGTTCATAACCTTGTCATCCAGTAAACACTAATACTGTTTCACTGTGTGAAATATCTAATAAAAAACTAATATGACATTACTTACTACCACAGTGCCCTAGTTATGTATATATATATATATATATATATATATATTAATTTCAACATTATCATTAAGTTGAAAAGGGAGGAATTTCTCATTTGATCAATATTCATATGTAAAATAAAAAGGCAGGCCATTGATAATTAACCAAGACAATTAGCACAGATATTTTACAGTGTAGAAATATTTTGAGCATATTAAACGAATGCTTATAGAGGATTAATGCATAGTTTGTAGAATAAAAAGAATAAATGAATGATCAAATGAATAAAGTTAATCACAATTAGAAGTAAATTAAGCTGAATAATAAATAACATAATTAAAATAATAATCATAATAATGATAATAATAATTTGTGAAATGGGGGGGGGCTAGGGAGAGGTTGTCAGTGTTTACATTCATATAAAGATGATTACGGTAAGTTGCAGGATTTCATCATGAGCTGACATTGGTTAGAGAACCGTTGGAAAAACAGCAAGGGATATTGGACAGCTGTTGAGTCCTAGTTCGGGACTCTTCATCAGTACGCACTCACCGGGGTTCGAACCCAGGACCTTCTGGTTACAAGCTCTGGCCTTGTAACTAGGAGATCCTGGATTTGAACCCCGGTAGGTGCGTACTGCTGAAGAGTCCCAAACTAGGACTCAACAGCTGTCGAATATCCCTTGCAGGTTTCCCAATGGTTCTCTAACCGATGTCAGAAGCTCATGATGAAATCCTGTAACCAATCAAATCCCTACAAACCAACAACATGGATTACGGTAAGGTTTGTCTTTTTCAGGTGAATTTTGATAACTTCTGTTTTACTCCACCAGTTCGTTGGTCTTTTACATTGAGAAGAAGAATTTTCTACTTGTTTATCAGTCTTGCAGATAACCTTATGTTAATTTAGTCACAATAGACATCAAATGATTTGACAGTTAATTAAAAAGCCGACTAAGGTATTTTTTTTGGTTGGAGGATTTCATCATGAGCTGATTTCGGTTAGAGAACGACTGGAAAATCAACAGACAGCCAATTGTTTCGTCCTAGTGCTTGGGACTCTTCCACAGGAGTACGCAACCATCGGGGTTCGATGTCAGCTCACAATGAAATCCTCCAACCAATCAAACAAAATCCCTAAAAACCAATACTTGAAAACTAATCTGATGCTCACTAGCGACTGGCCCTATTTCGGTAAGTAGTTACCTGGGGTTCCCTAGTCGGGACCCCTGACCAGTAGGGTGCAGCAGGTAGGTGAGGCAGTAACTCACCGAAAAAGACATTGCGAATTGGTCACGCTATGTCGTGAATTGGCAGAAGTCGGAATTCATGGGTCATCGGCTCACAGTGGATTAGTGGTCTACGAGCTGACTTGCCTTGTAACCAGAAGGTCCTGGGTTCGAACCCTGGTAGATCAAACAGCTGTTTGTCCAGTACTCCGGTACCGGTTTTCCAATGGTTCTCTAACCGATGTCAGCTCATGCTGAAATCCTCAAACCAATTAAACAAAATCCCTACAAACCAATACTTAAGGTGTTATTTATCTTTAATATTTTTCTCTGCCTTAAAGTTTTTGTAGAGATTGGGGTGATTTTTCAGAAGTCAAGTCGTTGGTCCCACCATCCTCAATCTTTCCCATTTTTTCACAACTTAAGACAGACTAGTAGACTAGTCGTTAGCATCGTGTCAACTACAAAGCTGTTCAGAAAGATAAGACAGACAACAGCACTATGTAGCACAAAAAAAGATCTAAATGATGAAATAAAACAAACAGAAGAATAGCTGGTTGGTGTTACATAACTATCCTATAAGATTCATTAGAAAGATCGAAAAATGCCAAAAGCAAAATGAAAACAATGGGGAAACTAGTAACGATAACATAAATAAGGGTGAATATAAGGCATCTACTATTATACCATATAAGGAGGGGAGATCTGAGGCCCTACATAGGATTCTAAACAAAGCAGGAATTAAGGTGGCATTCAAACCTACAAACTCACTCAGAGACAAGCTCTGTAAGCTAAAAGACCCGGTGGACCCAATTAAACAAAATAATATAATTTACAAAATACCCTCCAATGACTGTGAGTCAGGTCAACTATATAGGTCAAACTAGTAGGTCACGGGTAGTCAGATTGTCAGAGCATAAGAATTTAGCTAAGGAAAGAATGGTTGACCCCGAGAAAATAAATAATTTAGAAAAAAGCTCAGCAATTGCACTACATGCATAAACACACAACCACACAAGAGGGTAGGAGAGGGTTAAGATTCTAAAAAGTAATATAGGTAGGTGGAGAGAAAGAGATTGATTACTGAACGCTTGTTCATCGAGTCCACTTTCACCCAACACATGCAATAGAAGTGACTCAATGCAAATACCAGAAATATGGAAGATATTATTACCACCAGTCAAATCAGAAGAGGATAATAAACAGTCGTAAAATTCTATTTCAATTCACATACATTATAACATTCTAACAAGTAACTTATTGTGACTATAAAAACACTCGTCTTATTTCCCATCTGATTATAATTGATCAATAACACTAATGTTATTATTACTTCTGAATGTGCATTATCCTATATTGATTTTATTCAAATATCTAATCATTTCCACTCATGCATATAAATGAAGCATATTAGTCGTATTATTGGTTCAACGGATTCCTATCATCCCGCTCCCCACAGTCATTAAGGTATAATGACATTATTTTATGCACAGAAGTATAGTGTCTTCTTTCAAATCGAATAGGAGATGATGGATAGAGTATGCGATAAAAAAAAGAGGAATTACACTTGCCCTTACATACATATAATAAACCATTAATGTATTTGAGTTTACATTTCTTATACTAGTCAAAACACAATAAATAGAATAACAAATATCAAATCACATCACATCACAGCATAGACGAGTGGAGGGATGTTTATACAAGATAAATAAATAAGATGAATAAATATTTACTTTAACACTTTAAAAAAATTAAATTATTCGTACAAATAAATTTTCTTTTAAAAAGTGGTATACATGATTATTACTATTATTATTATATCCTTTAATTCCTAGAGGAACATAGGGCCTCAGCTGCGCATCTCCATTGCCTTCTCTTTTCTGCAAACGTTTTCACCCCGCTCCAAGTCTGCCCACCTGCTTTCATCTCCTCTTCACATGACTTCCTCCTAGTCACCTTTGGACGACCAACTCGCCGCTCCCCTTTCGGGTTCCATTCGAGTAATGGCTTGTCTAGTGATGTCACTTGATGGTTTGTTTCCTCAGAGTATGGCCAGCCAATTCATCTCCATATCTTCCTGCCTATTTGTTTCACAATCGGTTCCTGCTGTGTTGGTTCGCTCATTGCCAGAGATCCCACCGTGTGGCTGATCTTTTCTGGCCGGCCATCTGATCTTGAATGAAGTATTGAGCGAAGACAACTGTTAATGAAGGTCTGAAGTTTGTTTGA